TTATGAGGGTCAAAATTAATTGCGAGAATTAAAATCAATTGTGAGAGTCAAAATACATAAAGCTGACCAGAATTATGATTATATGTTATTATACAAATCTAAAAAAGGAAATTTTTGTTCTTGTAAAAATTGAAATAAATGTTATACTGAGGTGTTATAAATCTCTTAAAAAGGAAATTTAAATATTAATCATTTAATTCGGGTTAAAATAATAAAATGAAGATAAAACAGATAAATTTCACTAGAATTAAATGAAAAGAAGATGTGAAATAGATAAATATATTTTACCAAAATTAATAGAAAATTAGTCTAGCCAGATATAGATATAGTAAGATGTGAAGAAAGTGAATCATACTTACAAAAGACCATAGTTTTTTATTTCATCACTATTTATATTACATGTATATGCGTCTATGCAGATTATTTTCTTTTTAGATGATATCCATTTCACAAAAATTTAGTTTTTGGTAATTTTAGTTATTACACAAAAATGAATTGTGAAATCTTGACTTCTAAATATAGAACTGCTTGCCTTATTAAGATATGATCAACATTTTAACCATCGTAATTGATTTTGATCCTCGTAATGTATTTTAACCCTCACAATCAATTTCTACCTTCATAATGTAATTTGATTCTTGTAATTAATTTCAACTTTTAATTTCAGTTATAACCTTTCTATAAATATTCATAATTTTGACTTTTTCTAATTCTTTTATTTCTGCAACAAAAGGCTTGATATATTTATTAAAAAAACTATCAAAAGGAATAATCCCAAGTACAAAATGGTTTTAAGACATATTCTTTCATTAAGTAGCATATTTCTAACCTGAATATTGATACTACTTAATGAATGATATATATTATAAAATATTCTAAAGTCATTGAAGTAGAGATCAATATATAATTTGTAAGTTAGAAAACCTGTTGCTAATTCTTCAAATATAGTGAACTCTGAAGAATATTGATAAAAATACTTGATATCCCTTAATTTCCAATATCCATTATACTTGTAAAGAATTTTCTGAATTTTGATTGTATTATGATTTATTACATCATCATAAAAAATAATAACTGTTATGCATTTAACAATCATTTGTAGTTTAATAATAATGATCACGTTGTCTACTTTCTAATTTAAAAACTAAAGTTCACTATCTTAAAATCTATCTCTTCGATTAATACTTTATAAATTTCTTGATAAATTTTCAAATAATAAAACGCATTGAATTTTGATCTTTAGTTTTTTATCTTGCTATACAATTGCCAGTATGCTACCAAATTTTTTCAATACCCTAAATTCTCTATATATTATGAAATTACCAGGATAATATACTTTTACAAAGAAAATTTGGTTAATATTTATTAATAAAAAAAATTTAATTTCTAATAAAATTTATCTTGATCAACTATAACAGATGCTTGTTTAAACCTTACAGATTTCTTTCAGACATTTCCATGCCAAAGTTCTCTACTTTTTTCAACTTCTTGACCTAGCTCAAAGTACATACTGTTAAATATCGAAGGATTATTTAAAATATAATATAAAATATCTGAAATAGATAAATAATATGCCTCACCTATATTCTTAGATGTGAATGGCATTTTCTTATTAAAAATGCTAATTTGATAGGATATTATTAGAAGTAGAGGCAATTTTTATCTATATTTACAAAATTGTCAGCTATTTGGCACTATATCATCAACTTTGAATAGCAGATAACAAATTATATCTATCAATTCATCATACACTTGGGTGGCTGATAATAATAATATAAGTTATTCTTTTTAAATTCATTAAGAATAATATTTTCAAGTAATTTAAAAGTCTAACTTACATATATAATTCTTTTCCATCCAGCAAAAAAAATAATGTTTTGGTAATATTCTTAAAATACAATGCAAATTCACTAAATGTTTGTGACATTTATTCATTGCTAAAAGGCTTATCAACAATTACTTCTTCATCTGATTCCTTATTACTACAGTAACTATTACTTTCTTCATTACTTTCATCAAATTCTGTCACTATTCTATTATATTCACTTGTATCATCATTTATATAAAATCCTGTATCATTTTCGCTTGCTACTTCATTTTTCACCTCAAGTTCTATATTATTTTTACCTTTAACTTTCATGTTGATAGCTAGTATTACTTCTTTATTTTTGACATAAATATTTGTTTCAATATAATTATCATTTACATTGACAACTATATCTTCTAAAAAGAAAAGTAAAAATATCATGAGAAAAGAATATTTAACTCATATTACTATATAATATATTTACCATCTGTTTCAAAAATTCTTTCATAGTGCTAAAGATAATTGTGATGATATATTAAATGTATTATAAATATTATCTAATATAATTATATTGATTATTCAAAGAATAACGATTTTAAAATATTTATCAAATATTAAAATCAAAGCAATTTAATTAAAAATTTAAAACGAAATTTTCATTTTTTTTTTAACAATTTCTTTATATACTTTATTATACTTTTTTTACTTTTATTTTGCATAATATACTCTTAAAAAAATCAATCAAATATATCAAATAGCTTATTAACTAAACTAATTATAATATATTATTATATTAAATGTGTTATATGAAAAATGCATATATTCTATTTAGCAAAGTAATTTGGAGACTGAAGCAAATTAAATTTATTTAATTTAGCTAATTTTATAATTTGTATTTATTTATTTCTATTTATTACTATAAAAGTTTAATTATTTTGATTTATTATTATTATTGTTCTATTAATTTATCTATTTATTCTATTTATTGATAAAAGTTTATGTTAATATAAAATTCCATAAAAGTCAATTTATTGATATAAAAGTCTAAATAAAAAGTTTAATTTAATTGTATTTTAAAAGAGAATAACTTTGCGATCAATTCTTCTTAACCTATAAAACCTTTCTTTCCATCATACCTTAAAAATAATAAACATTACAAAGTTAAACAAAAAAACAAAATACTATTTCAGTCCCAGATACGATTCCTATTAAAGATAGTCAAAAGAATGAGAACAAAGCTTTAAATAATGATAATAGTGATAATGAAATTTAAGTAAAAGTTTTCACAAAATAAGATCAAAAGAAAAGGAGGATAAATCAGAAGTTTTCGCTAAATGAATTTGAAATAAAAATAACTTTGTCAATAGTGAAGCTTTAAATAATAATAGTAATAATGGTGAAATGCAAGAAAAAATACAAGAGTCAGAAATGACTTTCCCTAAACGAAAGCAAAAGGAAAAATAAAAAACCTGTCAATATAATTTTAAATGATGATGATGATAAATTAATAATAGCTTTTGCTAATAAAAATAATTTAAATGATGTTAATGATGGCAGTGAAAATTATGTTGATGACGAAGATGAAACAATGATAATAGAATATAAGAACCTCTTACCAATCTTCTTGTTAATAATCAAAGGTTAACTATTCCTTCTAAATTATTAAAAATAAGTAATAACGATCTTTCAGAAGGTAACTTTCATTTTAACTATGATTTATTATTATTATCATTGATTTGTGATTGATTTTTACTTATCTTATTACCTTTCTAATTCAATTGAAGAATTATCACAATTTTATAATCAAAGATTACAAGTAATTGAAGATATTGATAATTAGACAGACTTTCGAACATAAAATCATAAAGAAGAATTAGATAATATCGAAGTTATATCAAGAGAAGTTGAAATTGATATAGAATTAAAGAAAAGGATATTAGGTAAGTTGATTTATTCTTTTTTAATTTTAATTTAATCTTATATAATTATTATAAAATTTCAACAAAATTTGTTAAAAATTGTGTACCGGTTGATTTTGAAATGTAAATTTTTGATTTATAATTAATAATTATATTTGAAATAATTTTTTTATTTCAATAACTAATTTTATGTTACACAATATTTATTGAATTTTATTGGCTGATTAATGTTGATCGTCTCAAAAAATCAGACCAATAAATGGATTTTTAACTATGCTCTATTCTTGTTATATATTGGCATTTTGATCTTTACCAAGAAAATCACTGACCATAATCACATGTATAACTGGTACATTATCACAAATATAAATCCTCCTGTGATGGGATATTATCTTATCTAATCAATTCCCATGTGCATCATCGATGCAATAAAATTAAGCATCTTCACGTGCAGAATTCTTGATACTTGGCGCAGTATCATACTGATGAATTACCTTTATTGTAATATATTAAGCAACAAATTTCAGGCAGAAGGAATGTTATGAAAATGAATTGTAGTAATGAGTATGATTATTTTTTATATCTCATTGCTAATCTTCGAATTCTTTCTATAGAATCGAAATTACTTCCTCTCTCTTGCGGGAAATATTATTTTACATAGTCTGTGCAAGTGATAGTGATATACTGTAGATAGGCATAGATATGGGTGAAATAATTTATAGAATAGTAAAAGAGCATGGGGGTGAGAATCTTTCAGTTAGCTATATTGATAGAAATAAATTAGTTATAGATATTTTTGAGAGAGTAAAGAAATAACTGATGCTGGGACTTGCATTAAATGGCCTAGAGTCCACATACTCCCTTCCTCTTTAATAGCATCATATATTTCATTTACTTCTCTAGTATTTTCTAGTTCACTTACTTTTAAAATTTAAAAAAATCAATAAAGTTTCGCCCACATTGAGTTTATTATTTTTTTAATATTTATAATGTAACAAAACTAAGTCATAATGTATTTTGATAATATTTGATATAATATATCTCATGATGAATCTAATCAATTCTCTATAATCTCATACTTCTGATTTACAATTTACAAAACGTGTTCTTAATCAATGAAATTAGACGTGCTTACATTGATAAAAGTTAATTTTAAATCACGCGCTCATAAAGCTTGATGAAAGTTAATTTTAAACCATATATAAACCTAAATATCGTTTTACATTTTATTTATTATATTTACTCCTTCATTTTATTGCTACGATAAAATTAATATGAACTTTCTAAAGTTTGCTAAAGAATACAAAAAATTATTTCCGAATATCACATCTGAAGAAATTTGTAAAGCTTTTCAGGTTAACAGTAAGTTGGTTTACTCGTCAAAGACCTGCTATCCTTTTCAGTAAATAACTTTGCCTTTTCTGGTCTCCTAACCCAATTTAAATAAATATCAAGGTAAGCGCCTTTGCGTTGTAATGATTGATTATGACATTGTCTTGACCTATAACTAACTTTGCCCCTTTTAGTCTCCTAACCCAATTTAGATGAACATCAAGGTAAACCTTTGTGTCGTAATAATTGGTCAACTCGAACATAACTCGCTAATCTTTTATTTTTATACAGACGAAGACGTAAACAGATTTTGGAATGCACTAAAGAACAAAAATGTTGAATGCGGAGAATTCCTCCAACTGTCTGAGGGCATCCATTTTTTAGAAAATGAAGATAAAACTTCAATTATTTACATTTGTAAATGCTATCATGATTTGGCAAAGATCGCATTTGATAAGAAAATGAAAAAAGATTGTGAATTAGCGGTAATCTGGGTATCAGAAAGACGCTATTTGGCTACTACTTACTTTATTTACTTTCGTAAAAAAATATAATAATTATATATGATTTCCATGCTTCAAAAACTGTGCTTATCTTTGACAAGGATAGCATCTTTCGTATTTTCTGCATAAAAATTATAGAATCATATCAGAAAAATTCAAATGCATGGTACATTGTGGATGCTAAGATACCAGTTAAAGCTAATGCAAGAACAATTCTTTTATGTTCATCTAGAAAGGATCTCTATAGAGATTTTGACAAGTTTGGACTTTCAACAGTACGGTTCATGTCAGTTTGGGGATGAAGAGAGATCGATGATTGCAGGGATAAAATTTTTTATAACATTGAGAAAGAAAAGGTTGAAGAATTATTTTTGAAGTGGGGAGGAATTCCTAGGTTCGTTTTAGAACAGGCTGATGATAAAGGTTATTAAGACATGTTTGAAAAGACAATTAACAAGTGTAGCATAGATATATTTAAATACATTGGTGAATCAACAGATACAGATGAAATGAGCTATAAGCTCGTTCACATTTATACAAATCTCCCATTCGCTGATGAAGTAAAGGACGAAAATGAAATGGATTTAGATACTATTTCCACTATTCCTAATGATGTAATGCTAGATCGCCACGATGAAAGACCCTATATAAAGTCAATCATAAGATTCGTCTCTGACTTTATTAAGCAAGAAGTGACCAAAACACTCGAGGAAGATATAAGGAACAAATTGCATACTGAAACGAATTTAAGCTTAAAAGCAGGAATCAGTAATTCGTTATTGGGCATGTTATTTGAACAGATTGCTCATTAGATGCTACGTGATGGGAAAGTTTTTAAAATACATTCTTTAGAAACTCAATGGTTTAGAGGAAGACCTCATTATTAACAAGCAGAGTGAAATACTTGAGTTTTTTAAAAGTAATATTAGTGTGATCGAAGATGGAAAATACTATAAACAAGTGGAACAAAATTTCCAACAATCGACGTCATCATTACTCTAACAAACTTTTTCAGATAACAATAGCAAAGATCCACCCTATCAAGATGAATGGTTTAAAAATACTTTATAATAAGTTAGGGAGGAGGATGCGTCAGAAGATATCAAATTTTATTTTGTTGTACCAAAACACTTGTACGATAATTACAGAAAGTAAGATTTTCATATATCTAATAATACTCTTACCCTGAATGTACCACTTTGGATCCAATTTCATGTTCAACAATATGCATTAAAAATGGTTTTGTAACTCTATTGACAGATTTAGTAATGTAGAAACTTAACAGACGTTGTAACAAAACCAGCAAACTATGTCAACAGTTTAAGTGAAGTGAAAATAAATTCGTTGCTTTATGGAGGGTGAGATTTAATTCATATTAGGATAGTGTAATGAGGCTGACACACCACCAGTGTATAAAATTTGGACCAAAAGTTATGTGCACAAATTGTACTAAAAATAGAAAATTAATGCATGTATTATATAGTATTTCCATTTTTATAAATAATTTATCCATTTTTATATATAATTTATCTATTTTTAGTAATTATTTGTGCACATTTTATGCTGTGTAATATGTGCACATAAAAATTTAATGTGCACATATGCACATTATGCATATGAATTTTACACACTGCACACCACTATATTAATACATAGTTAAAATACAGGGAGATATATTATGGTTTGTGAAATATATTAAGTAAAAAATAATTAATTGATTTGTTATGTAAAACTAGTAAAAATTTCATAATTTCGTTTCATGCTCATGCTTAAAATGTGTACATGTATCAGATTAATAATAAAGTTTGTGATAAGCATTGCCAAATAATCATGTCTGCCTATTTATATTATTTATATTATCACTTTGCTTTCCTGTTCATAAAAATGGAAATGTGACTTCAAAAAAGTTATTAAGGTAGAGCAACTGAAAACTTTTGCTAATATTGATGCCAAAAACATTAGTCTATGAAAGATGACAATTCCTAATGACTATAATGATTCTTTGAGTAATTTCTCACTTTAAGACCAAGATAATGCAGAGTGAATAGATTAGGACTTGGCAAAAAGCATGATATTATTTTATTTCATGCTTTATTCCTCCCTTTAAACATAATCTACTCCAATATCTTTTATTAGTTTCATTTTTTACTTAGCCAGCTGGCCCTTACATTTATTTTACAAAAATATAATAAAGATTTTACTTCAAATTTTTAAATGTGTTTCATGTTTTACAAATGATATTTATTAATTACATTTGTATTTTATTACATCGCATTTACAAATTATAAAAATATAAAATTTACTAAACTATTTGCTGAAGTGCCTTATGGGTCAAGTATTATATTTGCTTTTATTTTTTTACATAAATCAAAGCTATAAAATATCAATGTTTGACGTCAGCCCTTTCTGCTAACAATTAATAAAAAAAAACTCTAATCCTTTTCTGATATATCATTATATTTAAAAGTGATATTGATCACGTTTGCATTTTGCGAAAAAGAAGGAATTGTTAGGGTCACAGATCTGTTGAAAGCACTTTTAGCAGAGGTATTAGGTGTTTTGATAGTTAATGGATTTAATGTTACGAGTGATTATGATTTAGGGAATTCCTTGACAGCTTTTTTTAATAGTTACTTAGAACTTGATTTCCATTAGACCATTCAGATAATATTGAATAAGATGATACCTTAGGAGAACTTATACTACTTGATCTAACATTTTCATTATGCACTTGTTTGAATGAAAGTTCTAATGAATGGTAATAGATTAATCGTATTAATTTAGAGATAATCATTTGCTTATTTTTTATAGAAACATATCTGATTTTAATCAGAATGTCATTGAGAATTCTTTGTATATTTTTTTTCACTAAACTCATTTTAGTTTCAATTTCTTCTTTATATCTTTTGCCCATCTAAAAAAATAGTAAGTATATTTATTAATCCTAGATTTCACGTAAAATCCAAGTAGGTCTACTTACATTAAAAGCTTTTGTAAAGTTTAAGAATTTCTTTTGACAGTCTTTACTGAGGAAAAAGTTAGTATTCTCTTATTCGTTAAGCTTACTGATGATATTATTCTAAAAATCTTATTTCTTCTTATTTGATATAATATGATATTCAAAATTTCTTTATTTACATTTATTAATAAGAAGATAAAGCTGAGCATCAGATTACTCAGTAAAAGAAGACATGTTTACATTAGTGAAAGAACTTCATGAAAATTGGACCAGTTTTATAAAAATATCGAGTGATATATTCTGATTATAGTGAAAGAAGATTAATTTGATTTAATGAAATGATTAATCAAATAATAATGGTAGCTTAGCCATTTTTTCAAATCCATATGATATGTTGATTACCTGTGATTTGAGAAACCACTTAGCATCATAAAAATACCAGAAAAGTGTTGTAAAACTGGCAGAGAACTAGGAAGATTATATGTGATATAAATTTTAGCTGAAGGTGCTATACTATCTACAGTGATCCAAGTCTAATTTAACTGAATCAAAAATTATAAATCTGTTTCACCCAAACAATCGAATAAAAATGAATCTAATATCTTATTAGAATATACTTGTTACAAACTATTATAAATCACTGAAATTGTTATAAATCATTAAACTGTTATAAATCATTGAATATGTCAGAAACTCATATTAACAGACTAAGGCCTAATAAGTGTATTAATATTATTTTAGACAATAATTATAATAAAATTGTGCTTAAACCCATCAATCTTCGTCCTGGATATAATATTGAATATATTAGAAACTGTTATAGTTTTCCTTATCCTAGTCAATTTGAAAAGATGGTTAAGGTCGAAAAAAGATATAATAATTTATCTATTATTAGTTTGTATGAAACTCCACAGCAATGGGCTATTCGTGTAAAAGACAATTTGCAAACATTGATTACTGAAGATCATAAAAGCTATTATCATGTATTCTGCCTTTTCAGATTATCTGGATAAGGAATAACTAAGATATACTATGATAATTATAAAAGGGAGAAAAATTGCCATTGGTTATTACAGACCTAATATTCATAATTATAAAATGACTATTTGCTTCAATTGTTAAAAATTAGTAAAGATCACTGATGAAAAATCAAAAAAAATATATTTCAGTAGATGGCAGAAATATGGTTATAAGATTAAGCCTGAAGATTTGATAAAATATCATTAGGATAACTCATATTTTAAGACTAATAAACATATAAAAGCAGTTCTAAAGGGATTAGCCTGTTTTCTTGTAAGCTTAAAGTCAAAAATATTGTGTGAAAAATTTTCTGATCAGAGGATTATATCCTGAAAAAATTATATCTGATTCTCTGTTTTTTGAGCAAATAGGTGAAATATTTATCTCATCTCTATATGCAAAACAAAATAACTTATTGGGTCTCTTTGGAATCTTACAATCTATAAACCATCTTAATCAACCTGCATTAAGATTAAAAGATTGGATAAAAGTCACGATTATTTAACTGATTTAACTAATATAATTTATTTTTTGCATTACATGATAGATGATCACTTAGTGAAATTGACTAAAGGCACTATGCATAATTTATTTATTCTGGATTAGATCTTCTAATCTATTTTAATAAAGTATTTTTTGAGAAAGATCAATGAAGCAATCTTAGGATTTTGATTGTAAGATAATATAACTATCAGTTTAAGAATTTTTATGTAATAATTATTCAGCAAGCTTATAGGAATTACAAAAAAAGGTCTGAGTTATTAGTAAAACAGGTTTAGAAAGTGGTGAGAAATGATAGTATTCCTGATAATAAGAAGTTTTTAGGTATTGTTTCTTGTGATAAAACATATTATTTCATTAATGGAAAACTAATAAAATCTAATTATATGATTAACTAATTTTATGTAGAAAATTAGCATAACATTTATTTTGCTACTACTTGAATAAAAGTGAAAGAAATCAGTTATATAAATGATTATATACTGTAGCATACCTAACTACTTTTAAAGTATTATATCAGCAAAGCTACATAATTATTAGAGGTATAACTTAATATAACATATTAAAATGATTACAAAATTCCAAATTTTTTTTTATTAGATATAACTTTGAGAATATCATCAAAATTTCAGACTGTGTAAAATATAGGAGTAAATCAGTAGAAATAGAAAGAATATGTAATTCACTGCCATTAGAATTCCTATATAATAGCAGTTATAAGTATCTGACCATCTCTAATTCTGGCTACAAGTAAGTAAATTCAAAAAATTTTTTTATTTAACAAATACATAACCAACTAACTAAAATTAATACATTGTATAGTCACTATCTAACTCTATAAGTGCAGCAGGACTTCATACAATAATATTTAATCTAGTATGTATGAAATAAGGTAAATTTTTAAAAAAATTTTAAAGTGGTATTTAAAAAATAGGTGTTTTAAAAAATGTGAGGGTAAAATGAAATAATAAAAAGAATAGTGGTAGGTTTTTTTATGGTTAAATTTTCGTGATTTTTAAGGTGATATATTATAAATTAGGTAAATTTTCATGCTATTATTATTATATATGGTAAATCATTTACTTTATTAGTCTTAACTTTACAATTTACTACAATACATAAAAATTCAATTAATAAAGTGGAGAAAAAAAATTTGATTGCTTAAATGTGATAATATATAGGATTGTTTTACATAAAAAAAAATATTTTATTAATAAAATAAAACATACAGAAGTAACACTTTCAAAACATCCAAAAGTTAGAAAAGTTATTGATCCAAAAACTGTAATATATATATGTGGTAAAAAAAGTTCAACTTGATAGAAACTATGA